CGGATCTCGGTGAGTTCGAGGCCAGCCTGGGCTACAGAGTGAGTTCCAGGAAAGGCACAAAGCTACACAGAGAAACCCTGTCTTGAAAAACCAAAAGCAAAAGCAAAAGCAAAAACAAAGATGCCAGCTCTTTCCCCTCAGGGCCATGCATGTCCCTCTAGCTTTATATATATAAACTTGGTCCTCCATGTGCATCAGGTCTAGATGGAAACCTCACTTTCCCCAAGGAGCCAGCTCTGAGTACACAGTTGGAAATGGAAACATACTCCTGTCTAGTGTTTCTCTCTGCACAGATGTGCTTCGTTCACAACACTATTGCCACGTCATATTCCTAGGACAGCAACTAAGGAATAAGAGGCACTCAATAAATACCTGCTGATTAGTTATCAACCTGGGGCACAGAACACGGCCAATGTAGGGTAACATATTAAAAACACCCGTAGGACTTTTTCAATTAACATTCTTCCCATGACAGGAATCCTTCCTATGCTTACTGTCTAGGAGACTGCCTGCCATATCTACCCCCACATGAAGATGCCAGGATGAAACCAGGAGATAACCAGGTGGTGAAGCTTCGTCCGATCCCAGAGTCTCACAACACTTCACAAAGAGACGTGACAGTTTGTTTTTACCCCAAGCTAATCCTCACTTGCGGCAACAATGATGTGGGAGACTGGAAGTAACTCTGCGTCTCTGATCTGAAATCTCTGCAGTTCCACCTGGCTTTTTATGCCATAACGAAAGTGTAACCTAAAACACCGGGGAAAACCTTGTCCTGCCCCAGGGCTTACGTGCCATTTGTGTGCACACCATCTTTTCTGGAACCAGTGGTACCAGTGAAAGGTTCTTCCTTCCTGGAGCTCTGTGAACAAGGAGTCCTCTGCACACATGCCTCTACTCCGCAGGGCCAGGACTCACGCACGTGTCCAGGCAGAGTCTGGCAGGGCCAAGCCCTCCGTGGAGAAGCAAACATCTGCCCCACATGACCAGGCAGGTGACATGCTGGTGACTAGCTGGCTAACTGCACTCTAAGGTGGAACCAACTGTTCAAGGAGACACCAACTGTCAGAGCCCTGTATCCTCAGCCGGAAGCTTAGTGGGTGGATACTGACACCGGAGTCAAGAATCATTGAAGCAGCTTAGGGGAGGGACCTGGTGGAGGGGCTCTTAGGCCAACTGGGACTGTGGAGATGGTGTGGTGGTACACACCAGTAATCCTAGCACTTAGGGGGATGACGCAAGGGGATTACCACATGTTTGAGGTCTACCTGGGCTACATTGCAAGACTCTCAAAAATTAAAGAAAAACATACAGGTTAGAGAGATGCTCAGTGGTTAAGAGTACTTACTGCTCCTGCAGAGAACCCAGCTTTGGTTCCCAGAGCCCAGGTGAAGGCTCACAACCATCTGTAACTCCAGTTCTAGGGCCTCCAACCACCTCTTCTGGCCTCAGTGGGCACTGGGCACACATGTGTTGCAGTTTCATACATACACACACTCATGCATATAAAAGAAAATGATTACATTTTTAAGAGAAAATAAAAGAGTGGGCAGGATCACAGGAGCAGGGGTCTCTCTGTGGCTTCCGTAATCAAGATGCAAGCACCCCTACAGATGTGTCCACCATGAGGAGAGTGGCCAACAAGGAGCCCTCACACTTACAGCCTGTGCCAGGCCAGCTGGACTTACAGCTTCCAAAACGGTGAGCCAGAGTCAAATCAGAACCCACAGTCTCAGACCCAAGACTGTGGGTAAAGGAGGACAGAAAGGCATGAGGGGAAAGCAGAAGCCTGACTGCATCTCAGCCCATAAAAGGCTGTGCACACACTGACTAGAGCCCAGAGGCCAGGGACCTTCAGTGCAGGACAGAAGAAGGGTTTTCTGGTTCTGTCCGCTTTTCAGTCACCGTTGTGACTCTGAAATCCAGAGCAACCACCTTCCAGCATCGCCCCACGGTGAGGAATGGGATGTTTGCTACCAGACTAACTGGACGCACGGACAAAATGTCCCAAGTCACCCCCCTTTGACCGGAGTACCGCCATAGTGTGGCAGTTAAGTTCAGGCACTTATATAAGAAGACTTTGAAAGGCTTAAGATCTGCCCCAGTGTGGGGTGACGCCAGCATGAATTAACAAAAATGATCTTCCTGTTACAGTAGCTTTAATCTCCTGGACAACCAAAGATGCCATTAATGAGCAGCACAGCGGTCAGGTTAAATGTCACCACTTGACTCTTTCCCTGCCTGTCTGGTGAAGAGGCCAGCAGGTAATAACACTGTCAAAAGATGGACAAGCAAGACGGACGGGGTAAGTTTACACAGCCTGTAACTGCACCAAGACTTGAGACAGGCACAGAACAGTCTACACAATTTGGAGACTCGGGCAAAACTACTCTAGAACAAAATGAATGGTGTAACATGTCAATTCTACCTTTTGTATCTTCACTCATTCACTCATTCACTCATTCATTCATTGTATATGGGTGTGTGAGGCAAAGGTGTGTGTTTGTGTGGGCGTGTATACATATTTGTGCACATGCGGAAGCCTGAGGTTCATATATGATATCTTCCTCAATGGCTCACAGTCTTATATTTTATGATAGGGTCTCTTATTGAACCTGCGGCTCATGGACTCAGCTAGGGTGGCTGGCCAGTGAGCTCCCGAGAGCTACCTGGCTACACCTCCCCAGGACTGGAGACTCAGATGTGTGCTGCCACATCTGGATTTTACATGGGGGCTGAGGATCTGAACTCAGACCCTCACGCTTGCCTGGCAGGCACTTTATCTTCTGGCCACCAGCCACCTCATCTACCTCTAATTTCAGCTTTCTACGTTGTCTTTTTTCTCTTCAGCCAATATGCAGAGGGCTATCTGGCTAGTCCACTCTCTTCACAGCCACGTACACTTTTTTACCTTACAGAACAGACACGTGTTGACCAAGCCCCTTCCCAGCCCTCCCCCAACCCCGGAGAGAGGAAAGCAGCAGGGTACACTTCCCGTGTTTGTCCTCACCTATTGCTTGGAAGTGAGTCTGAGACCACAGGGCTGGTATGTTGAGATGGTCCAGCCCGCGTATTCACCTATAAGTAGAGAGAGAAGTTTGATCAGCCTTGTGTTCTGAGGACACAGTTCTAATTAACCTATAATTCACCACACAATGTCTCATCTCACTATGAAGGTTAATTAGCTTGTTGCTAGACAGACCCACAGTTGGAGTGTATTCAGTATATAGGTTACAGAACTGTACAATCCATATATTACATAATCCCCTCTCCCTGGCATTATTCAAATACTTAAATAGTGCTGTAAGAAAGAGAAACCGAGGGGCGAAAACCTCAGCTCACTATCTAGAACAATAGAGATGCGGGATGCCCATGAAGGCGCATTAAGCGTGTGTCTGGGGGTTAGTAGCAAACCTCAGGCTGCCACCCCCTTCCAGCTCTACAACTGCTTCTCATTCAGTAGAAAATGAGGTCCAAGTAATTAATTATAAAACACTTGAGCCTAATAAAATAGCCAGCTTTTCTTTCATATGTGAAGCCTTGAGCAGAAATCCAGAATTTAAAACACGCAGAACAATGAAAAGGCATTAACTAGATATGTGTTTCAAACATAAATATGTCGAGAGAAGAGGAAGGGCACCCTGTGTGCAATATGTTTATGTGCTTAATTAATCACCGAAATGAAGTCCATGTTCTCACTCAATGAATCTTTGTAGAGAACAGACCCCAGGATCATCCTGGAGAAAATGACCAACAAAACAATTCCAAATGACTGAAAAAATACAGCGCCAAAGGCCCAGGATCCAAGTACACACACAGCGTAAGCAAATACAGATGTCGCCCTTCCACTCCACCACTCAAACACAGAGAAAAAAGATTGCTTGTCAGAGCTTGAGAAAGTGCAGTTTTATTTGACATTTCAATAAGTGGAACACAGCATTACAAATCCATCTAACTTTACTGAAACAATTATTGAAATTCGTACCTTCAGGCCATGTATGTTCCGTTCCCCAGGAGGCTTGCAGGCTGAAACAGTAATTGACTAAATTGTAGAACACATCAGGGCCATTTACAAATTTGCTCAAAATGAATCGTTTAAAAAGAAATGAGGGTGACACCAAAATTAGCAGAGAGAAATGATTGAAAAGTGGCCCCCAAGACCCAAGGTGGGAATTACGAACCGGGTTCCTAACTGGCAGGAGTGCGCGTTTCTAAATGCAGAGAGCTTTCTGACACCACTTCCTAGGAAATTCCAATTTCTGCTTAAAACATACCCAAATCACGTTAGCTGTGCTAAAATGACGGGACTCCTCCCGTGGCTCAGATTTCTGCAGTCTTCCCTCACTCCACTGAACTGCATGAGGATGTGCAGTAAAAGGATGTGCAAAACAGCGGTCTCTGCTTTTGCTGCTCCAAGGTGTTGGGGAGGGTAGGGAAAGGGTCCTTGAATGCCAAAAAGATTGCTATAGATTCCAAGATGGAATATTCAAGTCTGGGTATGTTCAAATTTTGTGTAGCCATAAACAATCAGATTCACTAAAACACAGATCTACAACTTAATGAGGTTTCTTGTATCTGCTCCTATTTAGCTCTGAAGATAATGTAGGGCCAGGGAAAATGACAGGGATTTCCCAGCACCACCCTGGGCGACAAGTGAGACACTTCTAACCCCACAAATGCTTCTTCATCACGTTTAAAACACAAAGCGTTCTAGCCATGTTTTAGACCGATTCCGTTCAAATACCAGAATGCCTTACAACAGGGTGGTAAGGGGCTGTCAATTCTGACTGATTGCTTAGGAAAGGGTGGATTTGATTTTTTTCTTCTTTCTCTGTTTGTGACAATAGAAATCGAGCTGCTTAAGAAGACATGCATGATAATTACAAGGTGTAGGTTAGTTTTACTCGGGGATTTGAATAAATTTGAATTTATTATTTTATTAGGACTGGAGAGATGGTTCAATGGTTAAGAGCACTGGCTGCTCTTCCGGAGGACCCAGGTTTGATTCCCAGCACCCACGTGGCGGTTCACAACCATTTCTAACCCCAGAGGTTCCAAGGCATCCAACACCTATTCAGACTTTCTCCAGTTCCCATACACACATGGTCAGGCACATACTCAGGTACACAAATACACATAAAATAAAATAAATATAGTTCTAAAAATGAATTTATTAAGTTATATCCAAAATATTATCCCAAAAATATCTCAACACGAACAAATGTTTTTATTTTTTCTCTAAGTGCATAAGATATTTAATTCATTAAGACTCCAAATCTCTCTTTAAAATGCAAAATAACTCTTTGAACAAAACAACAGCTGCATACATCTGCTCCCCAGCTCTTGGAGGACCCGCAAAATTCCCTCAGACTGTTGCCTCTGCAGGAAAAGGGTGGTGCGCCAAGGACTAAGCGAGACCCCAGCCATCTTCTCTAGCTGTAAGCCTGCTTGCTTCTCAAGCGCCTCTTCAAACCTTTTGATTAGAAATCTAAACAGCCATGTTGCACTCAAAAGCCTAGCAACCTCATATATCCTGAAGTTAAAAAGGCAGTTCCTGTAATGCTAGCCAATTTTCATACTTATTAATATTTAACACAGCTCTGAGCCACAGGGAAGACTTGGCCCTGAACTAGGAGTGTAATACTATTCAAGACACCAGTGCTACTTGGAGTGAGGAGAATGTGTGGTTAAGAGTCAAATCACTATCTCCTGTCCTGCCAACCTGCTCAGTCTAAAGATTCTTCTTCACATGGGGCCTAGGCACAGAGCCTGTAGGGCTTGAGACCCTCTGACCAACCAGGAAGGTCAAGGGAACTCCTGCCATGCCCACATTCTAAGTGTACATTGTCCTAGCATGCACCTCTGCTGCTGTGATAGACACCACGACCAAAAGCAACCAGGAGAGGAAACAGTCTGTTGAGCATACAGGTTACAGTCCATCATCAGAAGAGGCCAAGGCAGAGACCCAGAGGAACGGAAGCAGAAGTCAGAAGGGCTGTCAACTGACTTGCTTCCAGACTCACATGTCTGCATAGACCTTTCTTCTACAACCCAGGATAGTCCACCCAGGGCTGGCACTGCAGACAGTGGTCTAGGTTCCTTCATTGATTAGAAATCCAGAAAATGCCCACAGACATGCCAGTCTGACGGAGATAATTCTTCAATTCAGGTCCCCTCTTCCCAGGGATCTCTAGTTTGTGTCAAGTTAGTGTACAAGTTACAACAAAATGTAACCAGAACAAACATACATTTCATCACCCCACTCATCAGCAGGACAACAAAAAGAACCAAAGACCCAAATTACAGCACAGAAAAGAACCCCAGAAAGAACCCCCGAAAGGCGATGACGTCACATTTTGGAATTCTCAGTGTGGCTTGGTGAGACTACGTTTAATATGCATTAAGCCTCAAGGGGCTTCTGGAGACAGCAGCATCTCACAGTTTTGTCTTTACACCACCCTCTTCACCCCACTCTTACACTAGACCCTCCAAACTGCCCTCACACACCTCACCGGTACCTGAAGTTAGATGCCTTTCCCCAGAAACAAACCGTAATCTAAGCCAACTTCTCACTCAGGGTACACTAAACACTTAGGAGCTGTGTGGCTCTCCCTCCGGTCACTTCACCCCTCTGAACCTCAACCGTCCACAGGACAGAAGCAGTAAACCCTAACTGTAAAGCTGCTGGGAGAGCAGAGGGCTCTGCATAGGAATGGCAACCCCACGAGGCTGCCCATACAGTGGGAGGGAATTCAGCTAAAGGTTTCCCATGGAGAGAAGGAAGCAGTTTATTGAAAAGAAAAGCCCTCCAGCCTGGTGACTAGGTTCTCAGGGATCTGTACCTGGCTTTGCCATAACAGAGCTCAGGAGCAACTGATCGAGATTGTCAGCCTGTGAAACACTATTCCTTTTGGAGGAAATAATTTTTAAATCTGCCCTAATTCTGCAGTCACTGAGAAAACCAGGAAATAATCTTTGTCGTCATCAGGGGCCATCTACAAAGAAACAGCCGTCTCCCCGTTTGCCTGTTCAGTCAAGCGCCACAGAATCCGATCCATCATACTTTTCTTTTGGATGACCACTGAGCTTAAGAAGCACAGTTTTATCCCCTCACTTAGCCCTTCATTAAGTTCTTACTAATAATGAAATAAGCCCCCTGGTTCCACTGCCCACACAAACGCCCAAAGAGAAATATTGCACTTGAACCCGATCTCCTTCCTGGCTGGCCAAGCCAGCTGCCTTTGGAGACCATCTCTGCAGACAGAACCCACTGGTTAATCGAGCCATTCAAACTTCTGAGTGTTACAGGTAATGAAAGTCTAGAATGTTTAATTGGAAAACTCATACCATGATTATCTGTACAGTTAAAGAAGGTGAGTTTAACTTTTAATTATTTCAATTAAGCTATTTCTAGAAGAGTTACTTAGAGGGTTTCCTGGTCTGTTCCATTAGTTAAAAAACATGGGTTTCAAGTGGGACAAAAATAACAGTTAAAAATGGACTGGATTATATAACTAAGTTACTCTTTGCATCGTTATTCAAATTTTTATAGGTCTTTACACAACAGAAAAATCATAGCTAACATAAGGCTGGCCCGACCCAACCTAAGAGAGACTCCCACTAAGACTCACCCTCGTCCACTCAGGTATTGGAGATTTAATCAACTGCCACTGAAGAAGATGCCCCACTAATTAGAAAACACCTCCCTACCCCAGGACAAACATCAAGCACTTCCCAAAGCTCTGTCCTAGAATTCCCATCACCATGAGCCACGACTTGTAAATCCAGAATTAAAGCCATCCATTTGCCTTGGTTTGGAATCATGGGGACTCCCAAAGAGTTCTTTAAGCGAATGTGAGTATGTACTTCAAAAACAAAAAACAATCTAGTTAGTTTAATTTACTCTAGCAGATTAGATATTTTATCTGCTATAACTATAATATAGCTTGCAATCCCCCACGATAATGAATACTTCTTTTGTTTTTTTCAAATTAAGAGCTAAACATCATGTTATGTGCATTTAAACCTTTGGAAAACATAACTGTTGATGAAACAGTTTGCTGAAATAATCATTGTTGATTAGAATTTGTTCAACATTACCTCTTGGAAATATCTGCAGTGGCTCTATTAGCTGGCCATTTACTTGCTGTTCCATTACTGTGGAATAATACTGCAAAGAGATAATAGAAAGAAATTACTCAGTAATGTAACGGACACTGGGACAGACACTTGCGGGCCGTTGAATTCCCTGCACTTTTGTAAATGGCTGGTATGCACACATCAGCCTTGAGAACACATTCCTTATATTTGCACAACAAAATTACTACAGTGAATATAGTCAGGATTTGGAGGTCCAGTACAGGGTTATCATCCATACCACCATTTATCTCTAGACTAACAGTATTAACTAAGCCCCCATGTTAGTATTTATCATACTTTAGAATGATATATATTTTAAATGACACAAAAAGCGTTTGATAGAAATTATTCAAATTGCCTCTTATTCTTTTCTTCTGAATTTTGTAAAGCAAAATGAATAGGCTCAATATTTGGCTTGAATCTACGTATCAGTCAATCCAACATGTACATTTGTGTATAAAAACACACAGATAATAAAGACAGAAGCTGCAGAGACTGTGGGACCAATGAACAACATATTATTCAACCACAGACAACGGAATCCCCACGTAAAAAGATAGTCCCCTTCTAGAAAATCTACTTCTGATGAATAATTTAGCCTTAGGCACAGTTTAAGATGGATCAAAACTCATTGTAAAATTCTAGGCACACAAAACCTAAGATCCTGAGTAAAACAACAGCTCACTGCCCTTCATAAAATAATTCCAAAGTTCGAAGAAGACTGGACCGAGGTCCCATCTGTTTTTCCTGGAACACTGCCTGGACCACTTGTTCACCTATACGTGGAGATGCCTTCTGTACTTTCTTATATTTCTTTTAAACTGAACAAACAATAAAATGATGTTCATGAAGAAAAATACCTACAAGGAAAACCACTGACTGGCCCAAAACCGTTGTTAAAATTTTTTATGTGTCTAAGTGTTTTGCCCACATATACGTCTGTGTACTACTAGCATGTCTGGTACCTGCAGAGAACAGAAAAAGGCCTGGAATCAAATGGTTGTGAGCCACTGTGCAGTGCTGGGAATCAAACCCCAGTTCCCTGGAAGAGCAGTGGTGCTCTGAACTGCTGAGCCATCTCTCCACTCAGACTTGGTGTTTTAAGGGCCTATCAAAAGCAGAACCCTCTCTCCCTCTCTCCCTCCCTCATCTTAGCTGCTTTTATATTTAAAGATATATACATATATCACTTAACTACCACGAAAATGGATTATCATGTTCACTAACATGCTTAAAAAAAAAAAATCTTGTAGCTTGGGGCTGAAGAAATGACTTTGTCATTAAGACTGGCTGCTCTTCCAGAAGACTCGGGTTCAATTCCCAGCACCCACATGATAATTCATAACTGTCAGTTCCAGGAGGCCTGACAAAACGTCAATGCACATAAAATAAAATAAATTAATTTAAAAAAAAATGTGTCTTTCTATTGGCTTTATACAGATCAAAGTTATTTTAGAATCAATCTTTTTCCTTAGAAATATGCAGAGGCCCCCAAATTCTCCATCACTGTGAGGATCAGAAGCTGAGAAATCCAAGGCTTTCTGCACTGCAAACAAGGATGGTGAAGGTGAACGTGATGGGAGGGCCCAGGAGGGACTCTTTGCAGATGACTGAGATGAGCGGGGCCTCCCTGGCAATGGCTTTCAGACTGTAAAAGAAGGCAATTCTCTCTTTCTATGGACCTAAAAACTTAAACATGCACAACATAAATACGTGCAAATCACTCTGGAATATACGACGGCAACACGAGGCTGTTCCTGGAAAGCCAGGAATATAGTGTGCACCCCATTACTCACACGGTGACGACAGGTAAGTGAAATATCAATCATGTCGGCTGTCAACCTTTTGGGACAGCAATAACTGTTAACAAGTAGTCTGGAAAAATTGTCCGAAAATGACTTGTCCTTGGCACACAAGTATTTGAGGTTTCCGTGGAAAATTAAGATGCCAGTGGCTATTTGGAGCATTGCTCAGGTATTCTTTTTAATGGGAAATTTGCCGGTTATTGATCCACAGCATGTACCGTGCTTCTGGAAGGCTGCAAGCAACTTTCCAATCAGTGGCTGTCAAAAAAAATCCTGCCTTTTTATACTGATACAAGACAGGGCCATGGTGGTGCCTATAGTTAATGCTTTTCTTTAATTAACTGCTATGTACAGTAGGTTTCTACTTCGCCATGGTCCTAGAAATCAGAAGAAACAAAATATCCTTATGCTTTATCTAACAAACTAATTACAGAATTTTCTGGAACTGGTGCTTGGGGTCAAGTTTGAAAACAAATAACCTTAGTGCGAAGGGTCAGAACAGGTGCAACGCCTTTCTCCCTACCATAAAACCCTGCATGCATGAAATTGACCTGTTTTCCAGCTTTATTTATTTACCTCACAAAATAAATAAAAAAACGTTTCCCTTTCATCTTAGCACTGTGCCAAATCAACTGGAAAACTACATATATGTTTGTAACCAATGTGAAAAATGTAGGCAATCTATAGCCAGCTCTCTGTACCATGATTAACGGAATCCCACTGCAATGATACACACTGTGCTGATTTCTCAAACAATTAATTAGGATTTGCTGTTACTTTTCTACAGCTCTCCCAAACCCCAGTGTCTTTTCTCCTGCTGATATCCTAAGACAGAGCTGGACACACACACACACAGAGTTGGGTAGCAACCAAACCCATGGCGTGAGCACATTGCGCACAAGTGACCTCTGAGAAGCAGGGCTGCCGAGAGGCCACAGGCCCCGGCCTGAGCTCTGGCTGCCGCATAGCCAACACTCTACAGGCAAGGAGAAACCATGGGCCATGTAGTACACACAGAGCACTCCCATCAGGCCACTAGGCCACCAGGCTGCTAGTCCTGCTGCTGCTCAGGTAAGTGAACAAGGCACTCAAGAGTTGCAGGGCTCATTCCTGGGAGCCTCACCATTGGCTGTCTCCTGACACATGGCACCAATGAAGCAATGCTGCCATGCCCTGCTGTGTCTCACACTGCTGGGCTGAAAGATGGGGTCCAGTGAGCCTCACAGAAGAAAAGAACAAAGACCACAATTAACCACTGCACCGCCAGCTGGAGTTAGGACTGAGCCCCTGCATCTCTGCAGAATTGTCTCCTCTGTTCTCTCCCCTTTGGCTCTAAACAGTCATAAAATCATCAGTGATGGCAAAGGCAAAATTCTGGCTTGACCAAAACAAAAGAAAACCAAGTAGTAACAGTGAAGGCCTGTACCTCAGACACCAAGAAAACCAACACGAGTTGAACGGAAAAGCCACACTGTGACCATCTATCATGTCTTGGCTTTTATCACTTCAACACATGCTCTACACATGGTAGGTGTTTGATAAGGATGCATCGATTGAAATGGGACTGGACCCTCATTCTACCAGTCACTACTGTGCACAGCCTTCAGGAAGTCACCTAACCTTCTCTGTTCGCCTCATCACCCAGGGTGACGGTGACTCTGAAATTAAACTGCAGCAATTGCACTAGTGAAGGGACTTTGTAAGCTCAAACCCAGAAAGTCCATCTCCCAACACTGAAGCAGCACTTAGCCCGACACTTTCTACCTGAGAAGCATCCCAGCATTGAAAATGCAAAGATTCTAGGAAGTGCAGGGCAGGCGGCAAACTAAAGCCGGCGGCAGCAGTTACAAAGTCTATTTGCTTCAGCTGTCCTTCCCATAAGCCATTACAGGCAGTAATTGCAGCAATAATCAATATGCTAAGGGGGTAAAAGATTAATCAGTTTTACGATAGCTAATGGAACTCCAGGACCAGCTCGGATTGGTTTCAGAGTCTCTCTGAGATGGTCTCTGAAACCCTTTAACGGTTTTAATAAGGATGTGGCTGAGTTTAGTGTAGTTATCCTACAATAAAATTAATCTCCAACAAGGGGTAACAAGCACAATCTTTGGCTTTGTTTGTTTGCAAGTTTATCAAGTAGTGTTCCTATTTGTTATGAACCCAATTCTAGTTATAACAGCACAATTCAATCAATAATTAAATTTTCTCATGGAAATATACCACATTAAAAAAAACTGAGTTCAAAACAACACAGTTAATATTTAATATTACAAGGCTTAGATTCTCTGTTAGCAGGGCGACAACCCTCACTCCCCCAAACGCCTGTACATGTCAGGCTCAGCACTGCATAGCTCATGTATTTATCTAATTTCCCACACCTCTACCCCATTCATCTCTGTTCAACAGATGGGACAAGTGACTTACCAATGACCACAGGTTATTAGTGAACAGAGAAAAATGTTTCATTTAAACGTGAAACACATGCTTACTATTTAGGAATTGAAAAGTAGGTGGGCCCCATTCCTCCAACATTGAACTGAACACAGTTACTGTGCTGAGTAGACTGCTGAGCTAGCAGAGACCTCTGGCTTCTTCACTCCTTGCTCCCTCTGCACTGGCTGCCCTTGGGGACCTCTGTTCAGACATGGCCCTACCCAGCAGCCCTGCCCCCCCCCCCCCCCGTCTCCAGGTACCCCCATTCTAGTTCCTGGTAGTGTCCTCCTTGGAGTGGGTCCCTCCTGAGCAGTCCCCCCTTCTCACTATATCTTCTTCTCCTTCTATCACTTCCCAGGTTTCCATCACCAGAGGAGTCATGGAGACTAATTAGGACCTGCCGAGTCACAAATCTTTATTTCCAGCCTGTCTCTCCAAAGATTTGGAGCATATCCAGTTGGCTGACAAGAGCCTCCTCCAATGCTAAAATCCAAAACTGAATTTTCTGTCTCTCCACCCTCCCTCAGAGCCCAGACTGGTTGACTGCCACCTGGGTTTACCAAGTCATTAAGTGCAGGTACCCACACAGATGTCTTGACTTGATCCCGACTACCTCTCTTCCTATACTGGCCACATGGATTCATTCACTTGACCTCTTTCCAAACCTACTGACCCCTCACAGGCCTGCAGCCACCACTGTCTTTGACCTGAAACAGCCCATATCCCACTGCCTCACTTCTGTGTTTTAGAACTCTTGTCCTGCAAGCCACGCTTCAGAGAAACAAGCCGGGCC